AGCTTTGAGCTTTCTCTTGAATGCTCCTCGATGCGTCTTGAAGTGTTTCATCTTTGCTCTGATGCATGACTCGCAGTAGGGATTCTTGTAACGATGTGTGAGTAGATGCTCGATTTTCCTGGCATCTGCTTTCAGAGTTCCTCTTCTCACCATTCTACTTGCACCGTCAACAACATCCACCTCGATGTCATCTGCATCATCATCGTCAGCTTCTGGTTCACTGTCTCCGGCGACATCTGATCCTACCTCATCTTCTTCTCCAGGAGATGCCTTGAACTTCTTATTCCTCTTTCGCCTTTTGACTTTTGGAGGTTCAATCACAGGAAGGTCGTCATCATCACACATGATTCCTTGAGGATCCACATCACAGTTGATGAAAGTCGATTGGTAATCAGCTTCATCTTCTCCTAGGGTGAACCTTGCGATCATCTCCGCCCTTGTATCGTCGGTGGGAGTACAGAAGTCACTGCCCTTGACAATATATGGGATGTTTCCCTCTACTTCTAACATGATTTTCTTGTAGTTCGGGGAAACCATGTACGGGTTGCCGCAGGCTGGCCATATGAATGTGTATCCTTCCTCCATGCATTTCTTTCCAACAGACAGTACTGAAGGAGACTCATCTAGGACGAATGGGGAGTAGGTAGAGTCAAATTCGTCGAAATGAATGTCAGCGACTCCTTTTGTGGATGTCACTCCATTTGCGGTATAGAATGACATTGATTGGTCGCTTTCTCTCACTTCCAGACCTAATTTCTTGGCTCTGCCTTTCGATATCAAATCATACCCACATCCTGTGTCCATGATGAATTTCGTTCTTGACCCTTTGGCTGGAATAGACAATGTCTTTGTGTCTGCATGATCTTTCTTTCCCTCGCATACATGAGGAATGACTTTATGATGGAAAACTAGGCCGTCATCTTCGTCAAAAGACATAGTGACCGATAGGTCACCCTTTGGTCCAACTGGTATTCGGACCCTCTTGATCTCAGTGTAGGGGACCATCAGTATGCCTCTCGCCTCTGCGACCTTTTCTTCAAATCTGATTTGTTCTTTCCTCGTGTAGCAGGTGAGCTCTTTCTCATCGTATCGTTTGATGTCCGGACGTAGAGGTTTCTTTTCTACTACCTTCCATTTGTCCCTGACTGAGTAGATCGCTTCGTTCAACATGATCTCACAAGTCTCTTCATCAAAGGATACTTTTGCACCTCCTTCTCTTGCCTTGGCGGATGCAGCAATCCCTTCATCTTCGGATTCGTCCGTGAAGAGTTCACCGTCAATGGCTGGGGCTCCAGGCTTCGCCTTAGGCTTCGGTTTGGGTTTTGCCTTGGGCTTTGGCCTATCGTCTCCTGAGTCAGCTGGTGCAGATATCCCTTTCTTAGGAGAGGCTTTTGGGTCATGGTAGAACTTGCAATCCTTCCCTTTGTCACAAGTTCCTCGAATCCACATCCAACATACTGGCTTGTCATTCTTTCCGACAGAAGATCCTCTGGATGGTGACCTGGGTTTCTTGTGACTGAATGGGCAATCTTTCCCCATAGTGCAGTTACCTTTCACGAAGTATTTGCATGGTATCTTCTTCTTGTCTGTACTCGGACTTCGGCTGCGATCCTTTCCATCACCTTTACCTTTCCCCTTTCCCTTTTTGTTCTTGTCTTCAGGATGCTTCTTGGGATTGGGTTTCGGCTTCACTGCAGCAGCGTCTTCTGAGACAACCTGTTCTTGTTGCCCTTTTGGTTTCTTCTTCGGATCAGCTGGTGCAGCTTTCAGTTTTGGAGCAGGTCCGCCTGGTTTGAGATTCTGAAAGATATTGGCCACATTCTTCACTGCCTTCTCCTTTTCCAGGATCATCCTGTCTTCAGTTTGCCGTTCGATGTGCCTTCTGATCATATCACGTAGATGTTTGTATGTCTTCTTGGCATCATCGTCGTTCATGCTATTGTAGGCGCTGATGTCGTATGCCATGAGGTTTGAGTTCCTGATCTTTCTCCATAGGAGATCCCGAAGAGTTTCGTCGCTCGGGACGTCAACGGGCTTCATTCCTGCCAGAATCTCATCCCAAGTGTGGAAGAACAACGATAAGTTCTTGTCTCCTTGATATTCTAGTTGGTAGAGGTGCATTGAAGTATATAAGACTTCCACATTTGATGTTGTCTTGAAATTCATAAGGATCAGGGCTAGGACCTCTCTTCCCTTTATGAGGCTTGATGTTCTCCCTTTTGCATTGATCCTCGTCCTCAACTTCATAGCTACACCTGAACCATCATCTTTCGCATCCATGACGACCTTGGTAAGAGCTAGGCCGAGTTTGGCATCGATTGAATGGAATCTTTGGTCTCCTGAGTCGACAAACTTGTCCGGATCAGGATCGTCCATGGCTTCTTTGATCCAGTCGATCCAGGGCTCTTGATCTGAATCATTGGCCGCAATGATGATCGATTGAATGAGATTTGCCTTCCATAGTCCAAGATCATTGATCCTGGGCCATGACGGAACGTTTATCTTTGATTCTTCCTTCCTCGATACTTTCATGATTGTAGAGGTTGCCGGTGTAAGATGAGATGAAGAGGATGCTTCTGCTTCTGAAATCTTGTCCCTCAATGATTTGTTCGCCTCGGATAGCTCAATTGATTTCTCCCTTTCCTCGGCGTACTCGTTGTGGGTTTCGGCATACCATTCATACATCTCATCTCGGCTCTCTGTCATTTCATTGTACCCGTCCTTGTAGTGCTTCGCCTCCTCTTTTGCGTTCCGAATCTCATCTTCCTCGGACGCGTGGGTTGGTAACCCGCGGTCTCTGGAACTAGGACGCTTGCTGTACCGAGAGACTATGGGTGCCATTCGTGCTTCTGCTTTTAATTTCGCATTTTCCATAATGACATTCTTTGTCTCCTTCTGGCTTTCCAATAGTGCATTCTCCAGTTCTCTGATCTTCTGTTGAATTTCAGCACCATCATCGCCGAACATAGGAGCTCTCATCATATTCTCTCTTTTCAGCTGTGCGTTGGCTTCGGATAGAGCGAGGTTGACGTCTTTCAATTGTTGTCGTTCACGGATGGAACTTTCTAGGACTTCGTTGTTGAATATTTCTCCTTTTGCGATAACCTCCTTTGCGACGTTTGCTTCGTATTCATGGTGGCTCGCCTTCATTTCTGCCATTTCTTTAGCAGAGACTTCAGTCTGGCATACAAACATCTCCATCCTCATGCCCACTTCCATCTCTCCTATCTCCGCTCTCGCGTTGAGTTCAGCTCCACGTGCCATAGCTAGTTGACCTCGTAGATGATCAATAACCATAGCTTCCTGATTGCTCTGATCTTGAGATGAGTGAACACTGTGTTGAAGACGTCTTTCCCTGACCTCACTGTTCCATTGTTCTTCTCTCTGGTGTTGGATCACCTCGTGCATGTTGACATTCTCATCCTGTAGCGCAATCATTCTAGCTTGTATCTGGTCAGCTATTCCGACGAAGGCTATGTTCTCATCCTGAATGGCTTTTGATCTTCTATTGATCGCCAATGAAGATTCATTCTGTTCTTGGATGTGTCCAATTGCTGCTTGAAGCTCTTGGGACATTCTGTCCTTCGTTGCTTTCACAGATTCAAGCTCTGAATGTTCTTGATGAGTTTCTTGTGCAAGCTCTTGATATCTCATGTAGATATGTTCAGCTGTCGATTCCGCCAAGCGTAGCTTGTGTTCGAGCTCTTCAATTCTTATTGTCGCTCCTTCATCTTCCTGTGTCATCTCTTGTAGATGTTCCTGCATCTTCCTGTTGTAGTCAGACATTTGCCTGAACTCCACTTCAGCCTCGTGGTGTAGTCGTGAGTATCCGGCTTGGATGCATTCATATTCTTCATGAAGAAAATTGTATGCGTTTCTCGCCGATCTCAATTCTTCACCCAGCTGAATCTCTCTTCTTTGCTCTTTTGTTCCTCTATCATCGTCACGTCTCTTCTCTATACTCCTTCTTGGGGAGCTCGCGGTAGACGTTATAGGCGATGTAGATCTTGTTGTAGCTCTCATCGATCTTCTTGGTCCTACGGGTGCAAGATCGGTCAGATTCCGAGCCGGTGGCACGGATCTTTCCGAGATTTGTGATCCAGTAGGCATAGTGATAACGTCAGCATTTGCTGATGAATCAGTACCCATTGTAGAGTCTGGTGACGAAATGGTGTTGGGACCACCAGGAGCAGCGAATGAATAGGGTTCGCTTCCATTTCCTCCTGAGCTTGACATTGCAGGTTTCTGTAATGACTAGTCTTGTTCTTGGTCTCGTGTAGCTCGTACGGCTATAAAGAGCGCGTACGGCTGATAACCTGCGAGTGGATCTTAATCAGCGAAGTTTGAAGCTATCACTGACGGTCCATAAGCGGCGTAGCGTCGGAACGGAAACCGCACCTTTTCTAGTCGCTTGATCCTTGAGCCAAAGTACATATGGTACATATATATGTACAAGTTGCACTGTACGTGTCGCTGCACTTCCATTCGCATAATTGATTAAAATTGCACTCTTCTTCTACATGAGCGCTCCTCCCAGTCATCCACTTAGGACAAATTCTCGTTTTGCAGTGATACCACGGGTTGCTGTCGGCAGGTGGCATCTTTTGCTCTCATTTCCTGGCAGTGCTTCGTCGCCCAGAAGAGCTAAAACTCCCGCAGCACCACATAGTAAGGAGGTACAGCAAACCGGCTGTTTCTGAAATCTTGACTTCGTTTCAATCTGCGGCAGCCGGCTTGTGGTTGTTGTGGTGCCAAAAGCCACCAGAATCTGGCAACTTGCTTGCCTCTAACTGAAGGGGCTTCAAAGAACTACCAAACTGCCAAACAGTGGAATACCGTACCAGAGTTTTTTGGTGCAATCTTTTGCGTGTCAGGGTTCCAACGGTTCAAGCAATCCCGACCTTGGGAAGTGCAAAGATCTTCTGATCTGCTAATCTTGAGGACTGCACATCTGGCATCGGCAATCTGGCAAGTGCTCAAATTCAATGAGATAGAGTGGCAGAACCGAAGCCTTGTCGTACAAGACGTACTCTCTATGATCCACACATCCGCCTTCGGCTTTTGTAAGGGCTACCACCGAGTCGCTGTTGGCGGGTGGCATTCTTCGCTCCGGGCACATGAGTTTTTGGTAGTGTGGATTGCCCAGCAAGGCTCTGACTACAAGCACAGTCTGGCGCAAGCCTCCATTCTTGCGTTCCACATCATCATCGCCGGCATAGCGGAAGCACTTTGAGGCATTGTGGGCGAAATAGCTCCCTTGCCCAAACATGGCACCAGTGCCAAGACCAGCATATCGAGGATCAAATCCGCTGGTCAAGATTCCGTTGATCTTTGCACTGGGTGATCCGTGAAAAAGGAGCACTTCATTGAAGTTCACCCCAGAGTCTGGGCAATGACAAACTTCTTCAATGGATCGTTGATTCTGGAGAGACTTCCCAATCAATGTCTCGATGTCTTGCAAGGGTTCGCAACTCTGTCCAGCCCTTTCTTCCAATAGTTCCTCTCGCCGCTGTGCATACCTCTTCAAAAATGTCCTCAAGGTTTGCGTTTCCATACTTCAGAACATTGCCACACAATGTGTGAAGTTATGCCCGCCTAACCGAACCTGACTGATCCTGACCCTCTGACTCTGTACTTTTGTGCTTGACACATGGCCGCCAACACCGCTAACGCCCCACGGGCCTGTTTTCAATCTTTTGTACCTCCAACACCTTGACACGAGCGGTTGGGCACCACAGTGATGGATCTCGAGCATGCCGATGCTTTACCAATGACCTTGTAAAAAGCCACTCCACCTTGCAAGTCAGGACACAGCGCGCTTGGTTGGCAAGGTAGCCTTGACTTGAGGACATGTTGGGGTTGCTGAGGCCACAGCGAAACTGAACTCCGTCTTGTCAGCAGGGACCACGGATGTCCGCAATGACACGGTGCTTTCGTGGGGCAAAGCACATGCCGCCTCACATTGAGATCAGCATGGGCCCAACTGCAGTTTAAATGTTGTAAATTTGACAAACAATCGAGGAAACTAAGTTTGCACTGACCAAAGTAGTTGCAACTTCTTGATGGCCAGGCTGCAAACAGGTGTTTGCAAACGTGTTGTTTTTTCCCCCCGAATTCGTAGCGAAGGGTTCTCGTTTAACTTCGGGGGTCTGGAGTCCGGAGGTAAAGTCTTGTTCGCGACGCGTTATTGTAGCGATCGCAGCCGTTGGCAACCGCCCGCTACCGTTCGCAATAGGTTCGCTATGGCGCTGACAGTGGTTGGAGACGTTTTGGATGGAAACATGAAGTGAGTAGCGAGGAATCGTAGGTCATATGGATGCGCAACATTTTGATGTGTGGAAGCGGATTTTCATGGATTTTCGCACAATTGCAGTGTTTTATGAAATCCGCAGTTTCCTTTGCTGTGACAGGGGGTTGGCGTTCACAGGGTGGCGTCTTGGAGGTGCTATAGATGTCGGATTTGCGTTTCAATTTGTTGCTGCGAGGCTTTGTTTTCGCGACAAGTCTCAGCTAAAGCTAAAGTTCTTACTAAGTTTTTACGATTTTGGATGATTGTGGTGCGTGCTCAGAATGTCAAAAAAATCCAAACATATCCAAACATGTGGTGTGGTGCAAATTTGGGTGGAAACATGGAGATGTCACGTTGTCACTTTTCGTGGCAGGCGCGGTGCTTTGTGCGTGTTGGAGGCGTCGAAGTTTAGTTTTCGTGGCAGGGGCAGGAAATCGTGAGGTAGCAATGTTTGGTGCAGGTGAATGTCACGTTTTTGTTTTTGAGGGGCTGGGATTGCAAAACTGCTTGGCAGGGCTGCAGAATGTGTTGTGTCTGATGAGGCTCCCCGCTTCACTTTTGAAGGCTGTCTCGCACCAAACGCTCGCTTTGAAGACTTTGATGCGTGACTTTTGGAGCAAGTCTCGTGCAAAATATGTGCTTTCCAGACTTGACGAGTGACTTTTGAAGGAAGTCTCGTACAAAATGCTCGTTTTTGTGCCCCACAAGAGTGTCGCACAAGAGAGTCCCGCAAGAGTGTCGCACCAGAGTGTCCGACAAGATTGTCCTACAAGAGTTTCGCACAAGAGTGTCCCAGAAGAATGCCCCCGAATGCACAAGAGTGAGTGTCCCACAAGCGAGTCGCGCGAAAGTGTCCCCCAAGAGTGTCCAACAAGAGTGTTCTACAAGAGCGTCTCCTACAAGAGTGCTCTACAATGAAGAGTCCCACAAAAGTGTCCCACAAGAGTTTTGCACAAGATATCCCACAGGGTGTCTCCTACAAGAGTGTCCCACAAAAGTGTCTCCTACAAGAGTGTCCTACAAAAGTGTCGCAACCGCACGAGTGTCCCACAAGAGTGTATCCTACAAAAGTGTTCCACAAGCACCAGAGTTTTCCCCAAGAGCATCCCACAAGAGCGTGCCACAAGAGTACCGCCTACAGTGTCCCACAAGGGTGTCAAACATTGTTTGGCCGTTTGTTTTCGTCGAGTGCGTGTGTGCATTCGGGTTCGTGGGCTCCATCTTGTTTCATCACCACGAGCCTGATCTCTAGAAACCATGGATTCTTGGGCACAACGGGCTCGGTCAAGCAACAATCACTCAGTGATTTCCAGAGTGCATCTGGGCAACATGTTTGCACCCGAGACCAACGCCAGCATCGTCAACCGGCTTAGCTATCTAAGAAGCTTAAGGATATATCATGCACCAACATGCCTCCCGTGTTTCACTAGCCTTCCAGCCAGCTTGCACAGAGGTTGCCATTGCTTCCATGGCGTGTGCATCCGCCTGTGGCATCCAGTGTGGGAGGAATTTTATCAACAAACATGGGAAACATAGAGAAACCATAGGGCCTGCTCACGGTGCAAAGTCCACTCAGCGCTCATATTGGCCAGCTCTGACTTCAGCTTTTCCAAGGATTTGGCCTACACTGAAACCACGTCAATCATTCTGCTATGCTCAACGCCCAAGCCTTCTCAGTGGCCTCGGATTCATCTGGTTCTGGCAAATGCCTGCCAAGTGTCTCAGCTTCAGAAACTGCAGGACGCAGGGCAGGCATGCAAATTGGGTCATCTCTTTTGGGTATTTGCGATATTCTGCCACAACGTGCAATTATATATCCAAGGACATAAACCAACAACAATCAGAGCAACAAAAAGAGAGGTGAGCTATGTCGCCATGTTGGCCCCTCGTTGCCTCTTCTCACCGTCAAAGGGCCTCTGAAGCTGGCTTTTCAAGGAGGCCAGCTCCTTTTCCTTGCAGGAAGGCGCATGACACCATGTTGCATGTTCTACAGAAGGCACTCGCTTGTGACCTGCAAATCGGTTCTGTACTGTGCAGCATCTTGTAAAGTAACGAGCTGTTCCCACTCACTTGAAACACGCCCAATATTTAGCACCCAACTTAAAGATTTGCCGAGTGAGGAAGAGCGCCCCCACGGTAGTGTACCAGGCCTGCCATGCATTCACCTGCTTCATGCTGTCCAAATCAATCTCTTGGACGCGAAGTTGCTCCTGAAGGGTGGCCTGAGTGCAATAAGAACATCGAGAAGTCAGGACTTGGTGAATGTCTTTTTGGTCAAGGGGCGATCAGCTGTTGCTGCATGTCATAGAGCATCTTGAAGTTCGCATTATGCTTCTGAAGCTCTTCCTCAGCCAGTTGCAATCGTTCAACTGTTGTTGGGCACATATGCCAACCCAGTCCATCTTCTGCACAATGACAAACTGCATAATGTACACAAGCCTCAAATCTACTAATCATCTAAAGGTTAAAGGTCCAAGCCACCCTGTTTTTCTCACTTGGGCCATTTTCTTCTTCCAAAAAGGAGGATCCTCAAAATTGAACAACATTGAGACGTGGTGCGGAAAGCTCTGCCAATTCAAGCATTTGGGAGGACTCGTCTCAAAGTGGATTTCAAACATCGCCAAATGTTAGACTCTTAGACAAACATCATACTTGTAGAGATAGTAGTCAGTAAAGTTCCTTCGGGTCCGAGGAAGAGTTCCGTCTGGCTGAATTTCTAGCCCTCTTTCGAAACGTTGGACGCACGAAAACTGCTGAAATGAGAACAGCATGGACTGGAGCTTCTCCTGAGCAGCTTGTTGCTGATGGTGTCTCCACATTCGGACTATCCTGCAAGAGAGTGCATCTGGGCACAAGCAACAGCACTATGGTTCTGCCTAGGAATCTGATAAACCCCCGATGCTTGCCCAGCTCTTTCAAGTTCTTTGCCACAATAGTTGCACGAGCACTTTTCTTTCTTGTCCTCCCCCTACAGTGCCGGCATTGACCATCAAAGACCTTTAGTTGACAAAAGGCCTGGGAAGGGCACCTCCCATACGTTCAAAGGGAAATGGGCCCCGAGCCAGGAGCCAACATATTGAATGAAAAGGTCAATGTAAATGTGAGCATCAGAAATCAACACACAATCACCACAGGCTTCAGCACTTTGGTGCTCAACCCCCCACTCAAGATCGCTGAGACTTGTCTTAAAAAATGCTTGTTTGAATCAATCACGCCAACAGCAAGTTCCCATCGCACCGCAACATCCAGAAAAAACAACCTTATATATATATATAACCTGGATAAAAAAAATCCCAATGGCAGGGCGACGCAAACTGCCAACCTCACGAAATGCTGCATCTGCGCATTAAGGTGATAATCTTTATTTTATACATCATACTTGCATGGAACGAATAAAGGGGTCAGGCTGGCGCGCTATGTCAAACGAATCTGACACCTTAGTCGAAGTTTAACTTGTCCCCTGTTTTCCATCCTTGTCCAATCGTAGCACGACAAACTGCCGCCATGGAGCCTTTGCGTCATGAGGTAATGGGATGGTCCTGCAACACTTTGTTGATGGACTGATCAGTTTGTGTCCTCCTCAGATCTAGTTTGCAAACATACCTCAAAACATCAAACCCGGTCAATGCTATCTGGTCCAATCGTCAGGTTCTTCAAATATCTTCTAATGTCTTGTGATCTGAATTGGGTGGGGGCTGCTAAAAGGAGGACACTCCTGGTGAGACACAAAGGCCAAGACTGCACAGCTTCAAGCCTGATCTGGCGAGTTGACAAGCCAAGTCACACATGCATGCTTTGCACATCTGTATGAGACCTACACATAGATTGCATATCTTTTGCAGCAGTGCAAGTGGGTGAATCATCAGCATCATCAGCATCATTGATGATCTACAGTATATGCCCGGCATATGTACTGCTGAGGAATGACAAGAACACAAGCTTCACACAAATCAAATCACTCACAATAGGCAATTGGCTGGTTGCGAACGGAGGGCGGCAGCTCTTGGCGCATATGGAAGCACTCCATGGCTGCTGAAACGACCTTGCGTTTGACTGTTGGGAAACTGCAGGAAATGTCCTACTAACTTCAGAGCGAAGCACATGTCTTACACATGTCATGGCCTGTGCGAAAACTAAACTTGATGGGAGAATGTGTATGTGCCCCGCGCAAGGCTTCTGGACTGTTCGCCTGGACCTGGACACAAGTGAATGAGCTGGGAGCCTGAATGAAGAAACGGCCAGGTGAGATGCCAAAGTGCCAGGATGCATTGGTCTCCTTTGGACTCGCAACTCCTGCTCGAGGCCTTTTCACATCATAGCTGCGAAAGCTACTTCTGTACTGCATGGCAATGTTAGAGAGCTATGAAGGGCCCTCTTCAAAAGTCTGCATACATTGCCAAAGTCTGTGTTGACCATGTCGGCCATACATGGAAATGGAAAGAAGGAAAGGCTTGGAAGTGGAAGCATGATGAAGCATGCACTATACAATGGATGACACGAATTCATCTCACTAACTTGGCAACCCTTTATATTAAAGAATCTTAGGGAAAATGGCAAGTAGTTTCCAGAATTTTGGCATTTGGGACGTCAAAATGGTCCGCCTGGAACACTCTGTCATGCAGAAATGCACATCACAATTTGCACATGAAAGCTCCCCAAATCGAGGCCTTACCAGCCACACATCAGGCAACCGCAAGCAGGAAGGTGCTCGAAATCAATCAGGTAAACTGGCAAACAAGAAGCCCCTTCGTACAAGACATACTCACGGTGATCAACACATCCTCCCTCAGCTCTCGTTAGGACTACCACAGAGTCGCTGTTGGCGGGTGGCATCCTTTGATCTGGGGACATGTAGTCCTGGTAATACGGGGCGCCAAGCAAGGCCCTGACAAGAAGCACAGTCTGGCGCAAACCTCCAGTTTCGGCTGCATCATCGTCTCCGTAGCGAAAGCACTTGGAGGCATTGTGAGCGAAATAGGTCCCTTGACCAAACATCGCGCCTGTGCCCTCGCCAGCATATCTAGGATCAAAGCCATTGGCCAAGATTCCGTTGATCTTTGCACTGGGTGATCCGTGAAAAAGGAGCACTTCATTGAGGTTCACCCCAGAGTCTGGGCAATGACAAACTTCTTCAATGGATCGTCGATTCTGGAGAGACTTTCCAATCATCGTCCTGATGTCTCGCAAAGCTTCGCAACTTTGACCGGCCCTTTGCTCCAAGAGCTCTCCGCGTCGTTGCATATACCGTTGAAGAAATGTCCTCAATGGTGGTAAGCCCTATGCCGTGCTGAACGGAAAACATGTAAACTAAAATAATAGTGGCACTGGTTATGCGAAAATGCATCGGGGTCAATTCACGTACGCACTGGTCTTGAATAGTATTAGCGCACGCTCTTTTGAAGGGCCTGCTCTCAATCTTCTGCACCTTCAGCACCTTGACTGAAGGGACTGGGCCCCACAGTGATGGATCTCGAGCTTGCCGATGCCTGGCTAAAGATCTTGCAAAGAGCCACTCCACCTGGCAAAGAGTTGTGACAAAATATCATGGCAGCAAGCCGGTGGAAACAGAATTAACAAGAGTGTCACTCGCGGAAGGCCATGGTCAGCTGCAGCTGCCAAGTCTGCTTTCAATCTGTTGGCTGAGCACGCAGCAAATGTGAATTCCATTCTGTCAGCGGGACTCAGTGTGGTCTGCAAAGGAACAGCGCTCCCGTGTCGCAAAATAAATGCGGCCTGGCACACTCAGCTGTGTCAAACCATGCTGTTTGAGCGGGACATACATTTACACGCACGCACACACACACACACACACGTATATAACTATATATGTGTGAGACATACATGTATACAGTAAATAATACATCAATATGACTACAGCCCTAGTGACCAAGACAATTCGGCGGCATCAAAGTATAGTACTCTTTGCCTCTCTGGGCTACGAACAGCTTTGCGAATGGAGCAAAACCCAGCTCCAAGATTTTGCCGGAATCCCTCGAGCAAATGCCTCATTGCCATCTTCAAGGGGGAGCTGACTCTTGAGTCACCGAAATGGCATGAAGCGACAAAATGGGTGATGGGGCGTGATGGGATCAAACCAGGGCAGCCACACTGTGCGTATACTTGCCCCAAACTCTCCAGCTTTATGTCTTTTGGCCAATCTCGGACAGAAGTGGACATGGAGACCTTAGAAACCCCTAATTTAGCTTGCCAAACAGTTGTTGTTGTAGTTGTGGTCACTCTAGTGACTAGAGACTCTAGTGGTGATTCACCTGCCCAAGTGTCTGACCTTCACCTTCTTCTTATATTGTGTTTGACCGTTTGACCGGTTAAGTGGCACCCTCAAAGTACAACCATGGCCTTCCAACCAGCGCGCACAGAGATGGCCAATTCCTGTAGAGAGGTTTCACGTGCCTCAAGGATATCGGTAGGACAGAAAATGCCTCCACTTGCAGCAACAGCTATGAAAACATTGTGAGTCTCTGCTTCTTCTTGCAATCCTTACCCACGGAAGTACATACAAACCAGCAATCTGAGGTGGTGTCGATGTAGAATGCCATGATATAGTATAAATATATAATATATATAATCTTACAGTACTGGAATGGGCTGAAGTTGTCTCAAGGAGTGATGGTCCTGTTGTCATTGCGATTCTTTTCGCATATGTGGGAACTTTGCAGTCATTGTTTCACGGTGACATGTTTCCCTAGTGGGCACGCGTTTTAATTGAGGCCGGGGAAAAAACCTCACCGTATGAGGATCTGCACCATGTGCCTTGCATTGCGCGGCATTTGAGGTTGGCTTTGACATGCCATGGCAGAAAACAAATCAAATACTCTACAAGTAGTTCCAGCCGTCCTCACCCGACCAGGCTTTTCCAAGGCCGGTTTCGTACTCACGTATTTACATATATTTACTGGGGTCGGTCCCTGCCCCTGGCAGGACACTGAGTGGTCTAAAACCTAGCAGCCTACCCACCAGCTCGGGTGGGAACAACCTTAGGAAGCTCTCCCACTGTAGGGCCCTGAGTCGAGCACCGTGACGACCGGACGACCCCAACATTCGATGTGCTTGTACAGTACAGTACACTCTTTGTCATGGCCTATGATTGTGCACAATAAACAACAGTCGCTTTGGGATGATTCCATCAGAATCCGAATTGTAGAATATGATTGCTCAAACCGCATTGTCACATGTCTTTCCAATGCTAATGCAAACAAGGGACTTCCTCATTGTAGAGAATCAACTCGGCACTCATCTCTGTTAGCTCTAGCATAAGATTCTCATAGGACTTGGTGAGTGCAACCTGCAAGTTTGAGGCTGGAATTCGTGGTTCGCATCAGTTCCGCTTCCATGATATGCCAACCCATGCCAATCCATTATCTGTTTTACATCCAGGTGCGAGCATGGGAGGCTCAAGTAAACTTACAATATGCAGGCAAACCTTTGGTAGCAGTTCAACACTCTTAAGACTTAAGCCCTTTCAACCCTTTCGCACTTTTAACATCTTCAACCCAATATCTTTCAATCATGCCACCTTGCCAATGGGATTCGGATGAATCATCGTCGTCTTCTGAAAATGATACTTAGAGATCGGCTGCTTGTTCTCGGTGGTTTCAAAGCCGGCGCACTAGTTTGGACAGTTGAGCGGGCAATTCACTTTCTCAAGTGATTGTCTTGGAAAAGATCCGCGCATGTGTCATGTGAGTGTGTCCGTCGGGGATTCTGTACCAGAATTTGTTGCATCTGTTTATTGTTGTTATCCTTCAGTGTTATTCACGCCTTTTCATGCCAGGAGCCAAAAATATCCAAAAATAGAAGATACCTGGTTTCAACTGGAATGGCATCCATGTTACGTGCGCTACCTCTTTGAGGACAAAAAGCAAATGATTCTTCAATTCCCAACTTCTCGAAGCATTGTGGAAGAATGCCGTCATTGGGCCTCTCCAAGCTTGCCCTCGTCTTCAGGTTGAAATCCTTCAGGTCCCTCAAGTCCTTCTGGTTCATGCCAAGACCTTGCCAAATCATGGAGCATGAGTGTCTCTGAATGGTAGCTCGATAAGCAAGAGAAGGGTATGGGCTGCACATAACAATCTGGCACAAATGCTCCAGCAGCCAGTGAGAGGACAGTCAGAGTTCGATCTCATCTTTCCGTACAGTCGTTGCATTGGACAAATGACAGCGGGATATGGAGAAGCAGGAGAATTGGTCAATGTCCGCATTGACCCATTTTCATCTATTGTGAATGAACGCGCGTGCCTCTTTGGGTGGTCGTATGAATTGTTAATGTGGTCCTTCCAAAACATGAGCAGGTTGTCCTCGGAAGGCAATGCACCTGCTTTTTATTATCACATACACGGACTCTTTCTAGCTAGAGATCGTCTCGGACCTCCTTGGCACTCCCTTTTGACAGCTCCGGGTCACTTGGCACACACACGCACATGGCTAGTGCCTTGTGCCTTCTCGAAAACTGGCAACTAAGAGTTCTGAGTACATAGAATTGGTAGGAAGAATGTAGAACGGAACGATATTTGGATAATGAAAACTTGCAGTCCTGCCAGTCATTGACGCACATCATGCTCTCCCGGTCTTCATTCTTGAGGATCGCTTGTGCCTCAAGATTTGCCTTAGCAAGGTGATCGCGAGAGGCTGGGACACCAAGAGCCGCAGCAATTTCATGTTGTTCTTGCTTTCGATGACACTGACAAATAGAATATCACTAAGCATGGGGCTATCAGCTCCTTTTGCACGTGACAAAGAGCTTTCAACTTCGCATTCAGTTTGTGAAGCTCCTCAGTTCATCTCCCACCACCGAAATCACTGTCCAGCAGCCACGCCTAGAATCCACTGCTAGCACCTTGCCATCATTGCAATCAATAAGGAAGCAAATGTTCCAAGAATTCTTCCCAGCTGCTTTGAAGTTCAACATGGCCACATCTTTTCTGCTTTCCACGTCGCACACTTCTGGCTCTTTCAGATGGTCCACTGTGCGAGCTCCTCTCAACGTTGGGAGGTTGGAAAACCAGCATGCATGAGGAAACCTTAGATTCATGCCTAATTCCACGGGCATCATTGGCACACACAATGATGAAAGCAATGGTTCGGAAAGTATATATTAAAGTGGAAAGCGAACATATAAGAACGGTAGGTGAAGGAAACAACACAAGCAATGAAAGAAAATGCGCAATAAAAAACACATGGGGTATTGAAGAAAACCCTTGTCTTTTCCAATGCCTCGAAACCATGCTACAGTATATCATGTTATCGATGTTATCGTATTTGTTGCTCTTATCGTTTTCTCAGGTGTTGGGCTCTGTGTAAAAGACATCTCAATTTTTCCAGCTTTCTGTGGGTGTGAAAGCATCCTTGGTCGAAACTCAACAAATGTCATCTGTTCCTTTCATTTGTATTAATCGATGTCCTTCAACAGGCGATATGCTCAAACCGGTCATGTGGGTATCCTCCCAAGCGCTCGCATTTTTGTCATATGTTTATATCGGTTTGCTATACGTAGTTTTGGAGGCCTGTGCAGGTTGCCATCTTCAGGGTTCATGAACATGTACATGTTTTTGTAAATCTTATCGTTGTCGGGGCCAGCAATGCAGTAATGTTAAGGTGCAGGCCAATACTAAACTGCTGAGCACAGGGTTATTTCATCAGCCCACATGAGAAAAGCAAAGGGGCAGGCACAGGAAAGAAAGACTCAGGACTAGGACCAGGAGAATGGCAATCGAAAGGAAACGAAACGTGAACATGAAATGAACATGAACATACAGTTCATTTACATGTTTGCATGCGTTCAAAATCTTTCAAGCATTTGGAGTTTGAGTATCTTGCGATGCTAAGTATGTGTCAAACAATGTCAAACAGACCAACATGCGCGGGCGCAACAGTAAACCAACATTCACGGAGACCAAACATGTGTCAAACGGAGCGAGCATGTAGACATCTGCTCCGGCACGGGGCTGGTGTCTTCTCGTTTGAAGGGAAACGGTGCCACTATCTATCTGACTTGGTCTTAACTATGCAATTTTTCGCGAGCACCCTTCGGACACATGTTTGCAAATTCGGTGTAGGCAAGCGTGCGAAGACATTCTCTGCACCACTTAGCTACTTCATCGCCCTATATACCTAGAATCCTAGAAGCCTATTCGGTCGAATAACTCGCTGAGTAAAAAGAATCAACGTGCTGCGACGCACTGTTCAGGCTGTTGTTCAAGCTGCAGCGAGACTCTGTTTTCTCAAATGAAAAGGAGTGGGTAGCATGCCACCTGCCACAAATTTCAAAAACATCTCATCTCACGCAGAATTTGCACATCTTAGGAACCGTTCGGAAAAAATCCGCGATTCAGGCGCAATTTGAAACGGGTGGCTCTGACTTCGGGCTGTTTTTTGCTGTGTGAGTGTCCAGCCTCGAGCAAAAACCTTGTCTGGCAGGCAGCTTGTTCTATTCAAACAACACTTTAGAAAGAATAGCTGAATAGCCTCCCATAGGTGGTGCATATGGTCACCGGCCCGATCCGTAGTACGGAGGTCATCTACGACAAAGGCCGTTGACCGTATGTACCCCAGTCAAATTGTCGCCCGCTCAGCAAAGCCCCACCAATTCGTAAGCAATGTGAACAATATTCGACAAACATGTTCAGCCCGATGGAGCACAGCTGGTCATGTGTCTGATCATCTGCCCAAATTTGGTTCAGTTCCTCGTGAGCCACTCCCCTGTGACCGCGACTCACGTCCATTGTCGCAATTTGCCTTGGAAGCGCGTGCGTGCATCAAAGTGAGAAACCTGAAACAAAACGAAGCGCATATTAATGTGGGTTAACACCGGGCTCTAAAACTCCATCACGCCAAACCAAACATAGAATATGCTCGCTGCAACCACCTCAAGTACCATTTATAAAATAAGCGGCCATTGGAAATAAATGGAATTAACTTAATTAACCATATGAGTTGTTTTTTTTGTGGTGTGGGGCTTATACACTGGGTCTGTACCTACGCGGGTGCCTACGCCTGGGCCCCCCTCTCAAGCAAATGCCTACGCAGGGTACTGTCACCAACTTTAGTCACAGCAGGTGGCTCCAAAAGAGCTATATAACTTGAGGCCAGAGGGGGTGAACGAAAGCTAGCTAGGGGGTGAACGAGAGTCTGGTCGTCAGGGATGGGCGCTGCTGCGCTGGGTGCTCTGCTGGCGCCGGGTCGTCTGCTGCTGCTGCTGGCGCTGGGTGGTCTGCTGCTGCTGCGGCGGTGGGTGCTCTGCTGCTGCTGCTGCGGCGCTGGTTGGTATGCTGCTGCTGCTGCTGCCGCTGGGTGGTCTGCTGCTGCTGCTGGTGCTGCTGCTGCTGCTGCTGCTGCCGCCGCTGCTGCGCTGGGCGCTGCTGCGCTGGGTGCTCTGCTGGCGCCGGGTCGTCTGCTGCTGCTGCTGCTGGCGCTGGGTGGTCTGCTGCTGCTGCTGCTGCTGCGGCTGCTTGGTGGTAGACTGCAGATGCTTGGTGTGCTGCAGCTGCTTGGTGGTCCCGCTCACCGCGCGCAGGGGGGAGTCGAACCCGCGGGGGGGGGGGTCCATAAGATTGATTTAATCAATTATTTGAGGTTTCTGAGGTGCGTCCACCCCGTCACTTAACTTGCTAAAGCAAGAGCAACTCCAGCTAGCTAAGGCTAGCTTTCGTGATCAGCAAGTAGTGGCCCGATGCGACCGGGTCACACCAGGTTCCTGTTTACAAGGCGTTCACAGCTTGTCACCGATGGCCAGATAGATTTTGTATCAAGCCAATCCACATACAGTGTGGAAGCAGCAGCGCACAAACAGCACACAACAAGCAGCAGAAAACAAGAGGCAGCAGCAGCAGCAGCCAAGCAGCAGTAAAAGCAGCAGCCAAGCAGTAGCAGCAGCCAATAGCTTCTTGCCTACGCGCTGCTTCCGCGAGCGATACGCGGGGCCTACGCGAAAATCGGATACAATAGGTCCATTGATTATGGTACCAACATCACACTTGTGGCTCAAGGGCCGGTGTGCCAGACCAAGCACGATCAAGCTTTTGACCCCCAAAAACCAATGTGCCCCCATAGCTTCGACAAACAAACTTCAAACATCCACTGCAGCCATGCCATTACAATTCATGTCCCGTCTCCACTGGAATTTGCAAGCAAGTGTCAAGTTAAACAACTACAAGCCAACATTATCTTTCCCCAAGACCCTTGAACAACTCCGAAAGTCTGAATAAGAAAACTCATGCTTTCATTAAAAGTGGATCTACGCAAGACTGCCTACGCAAGTCTTTCAACACCCACCTACGCAAAATGCTTACACGACGCCTACGCCCCACGCAGAACAGCCTCCGCGACTTCTCAACAGTTCCCTTTTGTATAAACCTAATCAGTAAAAAAAGAAGACGTGGCTCATATGGCAACGCAAAAGTATGATGAACAAGCGCGATGAACATACAGTCATGCAAGTAAGCGTTTGTCCAACGTCCAGGGACGGATCATTCTGGAACACACAGTTGCGGTCATTTTGGAAAGCAAACACTTGCCCACAACGCCTGTGCTTTTAAGCGCCACAGAAACGTCCCTTCACCCGGAATCATCCATGATAGTGGAGCTGGGGCAGGGGTGTCGTTCTTAAAGTCAGATCACATGGCGGGGAAGAAGTCGGAAACCATTCCAAGAAGCCAGCGGGAACCTAGCAACAGTAGCCTGGGCCAAGGCAATCTGTTGAAAGGCAACTGGTCACAGAAGTTGCTAAGTTATGAAGCCCGCCGAAAGCCAACAACCCCTACAAACCATTCGAAGGCAAGCCGCAAGACTACTACGACGATCGTTTGTGAAACGCCGGGCCAAAAAGAGGACTTGAACACCTGAGAAGGGGGAAACAATAGCCAGTAAAGAGCAGGAGGGAAGGATGGTTTCCTGCGAGGGGATCACTTCGCCCAAGGCCTGGAAGGAGCAAGGCAGCAAGGCATTCTGCAGCTCGAAGGCGAGCTCCATGGGTCTGCGAAAGGAACCAGGACACTTCAACCAGTTGCCTTCATGTGCAGAGCCCGCTTGCTGACAAAAGTGTTCACGGATGCCGCGAGGAGACTCGTGACTCCGGGCATCCGCCAGATCCGCTAACAACCATTGCAGATTGGAATGGCCTGCTATTCCATCGTCAGGCACTGAACAAACATCAGACCGACTCGGAGGGCGAAGAAACTGAAGAAAAAACACAAGGCCTTGCTGTTTGGAAAACAGGTCGGGACAGCTATGTCATGAACCACCACAAAGAAAACCACTTACTTATATACCCTTTGCAAAAGGCACCGGTTAGTAAGCGAAGCGTTCTGCTTCTGACGGCCCCTGCGTGCACATGCTCTGGAAAGCAGCTGGCTAGAACATCCACCTGTGACCCCTTGTGTGAGATAAACCTTGTTGGACCCTTTTGAGGGGGGGCCTGGGCATGATATACGGCGTGGTGCCAGTATATCAGGTTGAGAGGGAGAAAAAAACAAAAACAAACCAGGCCCACTCCAGTCGGATTGTGCTACTTTTTTCGTTTTTCAGCAGGGGGTAGCGGCAGATCACTTGGGACCGCTACGAACGAAGACGCCCATTTGATCTGGTGAAATCAGAGTTGGCCACTCTGACGTACCTGCTTAATTTTTAAGTTGCTGAGTTGAGCTTGACATTCTGCAGACATGCACGACCCGCCGTCACTTCGACCTGTTCGTCGCTTTCGACCTTGCGCTTTTGGCCTCACTTCCTCTTGGAGACCCCCAGGATCCGATGGTTTCTTACTGGTACTCTTAGGAGATGGTACCCTAGGCCGGCGTGTGGCACCGCTGTCAGTCCGTATGCATATTTATTCGGCTGCATCAGTTACACTTGACTCAATGTGTGACAGGCGGACACAGCTCGCTTCTTTTTCACGTGAGCTTCAAATGTCTGAGTTCAAAAGTGCTTTGGTTAACGTGACCCTGTCACAGCAGCCCACGCTGCGCGCACCCCTGGTGCATACCTCTGCCAGGTATTCGTTCCCTTACCTGTACCTGGTAGACTCCTTAAAATAGTCAAGAGGATACTGAACATCAGTCCTATGACTATGTTGGAGTAGGGCTCAAAAGTAAACGGTGCAGTGACCATAGCGTGGACACTCTTACACTGCAGGTACAGTGACTTCCAATTGCTCCGCAATGTCACTGGAAAACGGTATCAGGACTCATGACTGAAGTATTTTGCCTGGCTGACTGCTGCAAAAGTGGTGGCTATGTAGCAGACTGCAGCCACAAAAGACTCAAAGCAGTGACGAAAAACATCATGGACACCATGGTAACCCGCAGACAGCACCCGTCCATGCGCTCATTGCCAGAGCATCTGGCCATGCCGACAGCTGCAACTCATCTGGCTTACAGCAGACTGCGCCAGGGTGACCAGCAGTCACATCAAATGACAGACAGGCAGCGCAACCGTGGCACACAGCTGGCAGCGACCACGCGGTGCCCCCGAGACTCCAAAATGACAACAGACCATATGCTCAACATGGATCATCGGTATCAACTGGAGACCATAGCATCAAATCAAATCAAATGGTCGATTCCTGCAGACTGCTGCTACAAGGAGGCCATTCCGTGGATGACATCGCACAGGCCAGGGAAATCACATGGCCGCACCGCAACCATGGGAACACAGGCCGGCAGCTGCCACAAGTACCTGTAACCACTCGTACCGAGCACAGGGTGTGGTGGGTGGGACAAAAAGAATCTTGCGAATCAGCGACCCTGATTCACACGAGCGACACTCCTTTTGGCTTGAGCCTCAAGCTGAAAGGAGTGAGTGAACTGAATGACATCAAATAATTCCTCATCACCGACCCTGCCTACCTTGAACGAATGAATATATTCGGCTGCATCAGTTACACTTGACTCAATGTGTGACAGGCGGACACAGCTCGCTTCTTTTTCACGTGAGCTTCAAATGTCTGAGTTCAAAAGTGCTTTGGTTAACGTGACCCTGTCACAGCAGCCCACGCTGCGCGCACCCCTGGTGCATACCTCTGCCAGGTATTCGTTCCCAATGCATTCAACATTCCCAAAGCACTCAGAAGAACTGGAACACGTGGTGGATAATGACATATGGTAGGCGGAGTAGGAGGTGGGGTACTGGGACACGGTGTACCCGAAATCCATGAGCCTGATACCATTTATCGTCAATCCCTTGCCTGCTAATACCATCGGACCAGTTGTCCTTGGACTGGACCCATTCGAAGTAGCACCCACTGCGCAGTGAATATAGGAGGGCATGGATACATCCTGCCATAGTATCCAACTCCGGGTTATCACTCCTGCCCTTGATCAGGGCCATCAATGCCGCAATGTTGTCCACAAACCAAAGCCCCTGACAGGAGCGGGCCTGACTGGCAACGAAGATGAAGCCAACATAAACTGTGAGAAGCTCCAGTTGGGCGATTTTGGTAGGGTGCTCGGACCAGAGGTTGAAGAGCTCCGCCGTAATGTCGACGACATAGGCATCTCGTTCACCTTGAGGTCCCACAAATAACAGGCCCGCTGAACCTTGCCGAGGTTCATCTTGGGCCGCATCGGAGGCCGCGAGGTAGCGTTGCCGGCTACCGGGCTGAAGTGGTAGTTCTCGCTCAGGACGTAAAGCCAAGAGGGATTTGATGGTCAGAAAGGAGCGTGAGAGGTCCTCAGTCAGGGCGGTGTCACGCGAGTACTGCCGTTCCTTCAGGGGGCTCAATCCTGATCGCCCTAACTTTCCAAAACATCCCGTGTTGAGGAAGCCCAGGCAACCGAACAGCTTGGCCGCAAGACCTGGCGGGGGTCGGTTTGTTTGGATGGCCTCGTCCATGAGGTCCGTGACCTTGGTGATCAAACGCTCTCGGGGCCAAAATCTGACAGGCTGTCCCCGGTGACAATTGGTAACATCATGTACCAACCCCAGAAAGTCAGACTGACTTTGCATGACCTGATGCTTCTCCGGTTGAAATGGTGAGCCAAGTTCGGTGGCCAACGATGTGATGAACTGCTGGGCTGAACCCTTAAAGCTGCCCAGATCCTGGACGGTCAGGTCGTCGAAGTACATACTGGCCAAACAATATCCCATGCGACGACAAAGGGCCTGAAAGAACCGAGGAAACCGATTGAACGAACAAACAGCATTGGGCAGGCCAAACAACGAACCATAGTACCCGCGAAAGCGAGGTGCTCCAACATGATGGTCATAATAGGCCACGACAGCAAGGTCGGATTGCTCGGGGACCATAGGGACATGCCTGTATGCGTTAGGTAGGTCTTCGCCTCCTGAGCAAATGCCGTCTGCAAGCAATGCGTCC